GGGTGGGGGTGAAAAGGTGGGGAAGGTTGAAAAAGAATTTTAGAAAATGTTGTGAGAAAGCACAGGAGAAAAATATATTATTGATATATTTTATTAATTGTTTTACAATAGCCCTATTTATAACTATACATGATACATATTCTACTCCTATTCTATGTGGGACTAGGGTTATTTATATAATTATATATTCTAACACTCCCCCTCAAGGCCGTGCATACAAATCATATGTACCGAGCTTGTTACATATGTAACTAACATAAGGACCAGCGAGGGACTTGGTGAAAATATATGCAAGTTGATTATTGGACTTTACAAACTTTGTAACAATATCTTCAGAGAGTATCTTTTCTCCGATGAAGTGATAGTCAATCTCAATGTGTTTAGTTTTCTTATGGAACACCGGATTTGATGCAATATGTAAGGCAACTTGATTATCACACACAAGTTCCATCTGGCTGATCTCACCAAATTTCAACTCCTTGAGTAACTGTTTGATCCAAATTAACTCACGTGTTGCCATAACCACTGCTCGATGTTCTGCTTCTGCACTAAATCGAGCAACCATATTTTGTTCATATATCAGAAGGTGATCATGCCCAATCAGCATTTGAGTATCCAACGATTTGTTCATGACCCCGATCCTCAAACAATAATCCTTTGCTTAGAGCTAATTTTATATACCAAAGAATGAGCACAACTGCATCCCAATAACTATCACATGGAGAATCTATAAATTGACTCACAACACTCACACGAAAGGAATGTCAGGTCTAGTTACTGTGAGCTAATTTAATTTAACAACCAGCCACCTATATCTTGTAGGATTGCTAAGCGACTCCCCCTGCCAGGCAGAAGTTTAGAATTCGAATCCATAGAAGTGCCAACAGGTCTAAAGCATGTCATTCATGGCTCCTCAAGAATGTCTAAGACATACTTCCGTTGTGAGATCACAATACCTGAGCTAGACTAAGTGCCATCAATACCCAGAAAATACTTTAATCTGCCCAGATCCTTAGTCTGAAAGTGCTGAAAGAGATGGTACTTCAACTTAGTAATATCATCGTGATCATTGCTGATAATAACAATATCGTCAACATAAACCATCAGATAAATACAGAGAATTGAAACAGAATGCCGATAAAATACAGAGTGATCAGCTTCATTACGAGTCATGTCAAACTCCTGAATAACTGCGTTGAACTTACCAAATCAGGCTCGAGGAGACTGCTTTAGACCCTAGGTGATTGGCGCAACCGATATACAAGGCCACTAAACTCCTCCTGAGCAACAAAACAAGGTGGTTGCTCGATATAAACTTCATCCTCAAGGTCACTGTGAAGAAACCATTATTAATGTCCAACTGATAGAGAGGCCAAAGGCGAACAATAGCATGGATAGAAAAAATCTGACTGATACTACTTTAGCCATGGGAGAAAAAGTATCACTATAATCGAGCCCAAATATCTGAGTATACCCATCGGCAACAAGACTGGCCTTAAGTCGATCAACCTGGCTATCATAAATCCAACGATAACCAACAGCAGATTTACCTTAAGGAAGAGCAACAAGCTCCCTAGTACCACCCGTATGTAAAGCAGACATCTCATCAATCATAGCATGTCGTCATTCTGGATGAGACAATGCTTCACCTATAGACTTAGTGATGGAAACAGAGAACAAAGATGATACAAACGCGTAATGGGGTGATGACAGACAATAATAACTTAAACTGACATAACGGGGATTAAGATTAAGTGTGGATCGTATACCTTTCTGAAGTGCAATCGGTGGACTAGGAGGGGACAAGTCTGCAGTAGGAGCAGGGGTCAGGTACAAGATGTGAATCAGTGTGGCCTAATGCTGGACGCAGACGACGACGATAAGTCAAGAGTGGTGTACCTACAGCTGGGGATGTCGGAGGAGCAACAGTGGACTCCTAAAAAGTCGGTATGAGTAACACTTTCGTGGCTAGGGATATAGGAGAAGCAAAAAGAGACTCCTCAAAAGTCGGTATAGGTAAGGCCTCATACATATCACTATGATCAGAAGAGGTAAAGTAAGGACGAGACTCAAAAACTGTGACATACATAAGGTACCTACGAAGATCGGGTAAATAGCAACGATCTCTTCTGAACATAAGAATAACCAAGGAAGACACACTTGAAACCACGAGGAGCTAACTTATCTTTCCTAGGGGCGAAGTTCTGAATGAAACATGTCATCCCAAAAACACAAGGGGAAAGAGAGTATAAGGGTGACTGTGGAAACAATACTAAAAGCGGGACTTGATTCTGGATAGGAGATGAAGGCATTTGATTAAGCAAGTAACAAGTTATGAAAACTGCATCGCCCCAAAGACGCAACGGAACATGGGACTGAATAAAAAGTGTGCGAGCAGTCTCAATGAGATGCGTATTCTCTCTCTTAAACCCCATTTTTGCCGAGGGGTATAAGGACAAGATATATGATGAATAATTACTTGAGAAGTCATAAACAACTGAAATTGAGAGGACAAATATCCTAAGGCATTATCACTGCGAAAAGTGTGAATAGAAACACCAAATTGATTTTTTATTTCAGCACAAAAACTCTGGAACATAGAAAACAACTCAACACGATCTTTCATTAAGAAAAGCAGAGTACATCTGGAATAATCATCAATGAAACTAACAAAATAACGAAACCCTAAGGTTGAACTGATTCTACTAGGACCCCATATATCAGAATGAACTAAAGAGGCACTGCACGACTCTTAATACTACACGAAAAGATGGCTAGGGTATGTTCCCAAGCTGACACGACTCACAATCTAATGTAGACAAACTAGACACCATCTTCTAAAGCTTGGATAAACTTGGATGTCCTAAACGTCTGTGAATTAGGTCCGAAGAATCTGTAAATAGACACGGTGTAGAGGGATTGAGTGAATTAAGGTAGTAAAAGCCTTGTGATTCACACCTTGTGCCAATCGTCTGTCTCGTACTACGGTCCTGCATAATAAAAGAATCATTAATAAAATAAATATCACAATCAAAGGCACGAATCAAACGACTAACAGATGCAAGACTAAAAAGGATAGCCAGGGACTTAAAGAACGGAATCTAGAGTGACCAGTGTTGTGAAAAGCACGAAGCGAAGCGAGGCGGCCACTGTGTCGCTTTTGTAGGATGAAGCATAACAGGTAAGTGGAAGAGTCGCTTCAGCCAAAAAACAAGAAGCGCTATCGAAGCAAGAAACGACTGAAGCGCTTGCTTCTGTCTTTCAAGTCACTGCCAATGGTAGTTAAGTGAAAAAATAAGAGGCGAAATGGCTTCTGGACCACCTAAACTTGCACCGGATTTTAAAGCCGATATATGAACTTTCGATTTTACCATTTTAGCACCTCAACTCAATCGATTATTTATAAGTGAACACCTTTGACCTTTGACTATGCTTATGTGGCAGTAGCATAGCTGACGTGGTCAAAGAGCGTGCTAATCACGCAGAAAAAGTGCGTCGTTCGTATTACTGTATTTAAAAATATTAAATCTGAATAAAAAAAAGGAAAAGTACATAAAAGACAAACAAATAAAAAATAAAAAAATCATAAATCCCTCCTGTAACCCCCTTTCTTATCTTCTTCCTTATACCCCCCCCCCCNCCCGTTCCCCCACCCCACCACTTTTCTCTTCATTGCAACTTTGAACAATTCTTTGGTCAGTCTTCATTTCTCCACAAACTAATCATTTTGGCGTTGGTTGGTCTATCTAATTTTTTCAGTTGACGGCAAAGGTATGGTGGTGACAGCGTTTCCGACGATCTTCTTTGGCCGGTTGAGACGACGAAATTACTGGAAACTTCCAGGCGTGGGAAGTTATAGGTGCTTAAAAAGGTCTGTTAGTTTTGATTTTAACAAGCGTCGCCGAGATGCCATTTTTTTCGAGGGAAACCTTGTCGGAATGGTTTTGATATTTCTTTAAAGGATCTGATGGCTTATTTGGACTAATTTCTAGACTGAGGTTTGGTTAAGATATGTACTAGAATATGAATTGATTAGATTTGAATTTTTACTATTGGAAATGGTGGTTGGGCAACGGAAGGTTTTGGCGAAGCTATGGTGAAGAAGAAAGAAAAGAGAACAAAAATTAAAATTTTGGTAAATTGGTTTGAAAAGGATGGGACTCAGATATTACAAATGTCAAACAATAAATGGTCTTAGTATCTGACGTAGTATTTATGTCAGGCAATTGAGATACACGCTCCGAGGAAGGGGTTTATTATAAGTATATTTATTGAGTTGAGGTGCTAAAATGGAAAAATCGAAAGTTGATATATCGGCTTTAAAATCCGGTGCAAGTTTAAGTGCCCCAGAGGCCATTACGCCAAATAAAAAAGCTCAGTCTTTTTTCACAATATCAGCGAGCAGCAGAGCAAGCAGCGACTAGGGTTTCAATTTGCAACACTCTTCAAGTTCAAGCCAGGTATGATTTCCTCCTCCTCCTCTTCCTCCTCCTCCTCTTCCTCCTCCTCCTCCTCCTTTCTTCTAATTCTTTTTTTATTTTTATTTTAGTGCTTAAAATAGCAGCGAAATGCTGCCAAACTTTATTTATTTTCCTTCGGTTCTTCTTTTTCTCATGCTTTTCTTCTTCTTTCTATTTTCGTTTCAGTCCTTAAAATTGCAGCGAAATGCTACAAAAAAAAAAAATCTAGTTCTTCATCTTTTGTTCTTACTACCATTTTTATTTTTGTTCTTCACTTGTTCTTTTAATGGCACCAAAAGAAGATAGGAAAGACTCGACTTAGGCTTATTCTGAAAAGGCTAGCGAGACCAACAAAAGGCAATTAGATGTCTTTTTTGTAACAAGATTTCTAATGGGGGAATTTATCGCCAAAATTTCATCTCATCGGTGCTAATCAAAACGTTGCATCTTGTCCTAAAGTTTCGTCGCATGTGAAGGAAGAAATGAAAGCATACCTGCAAAAAAAAAAAAGAGTTAAAGACTCAAATGCATCATGAACAAATGCATAATCTTGATGATGACGATGATGAAATAGAAGAAGGTAACGATAATTTGTCGCTTCCATTAAAATCACAAAAGCGAGAAATGGTACAAACAATGTCTTTTTGTTGTGGATCTACTAATAATACTAAAGGTCCTCTAGATTGTTATTACTCGCAAAAACCAGGAGATATGACAGGGAAAAGTGGTAATCGTCAAATTGATGCCACAGAGATTTTGAGTGATCGCGCAGTTGCAATGTTTGCGCAGTGGATGTACGATGCATGTCTTCCTTTTAATTGTGTTAATTATACTAACACTTTTTCTGCTTTTATTAAGGTTGTAGGCCAATATGGTCCAGGAATGAAGCCTCCAACTTATCATGAAATTAGAGGTCCATATCTAAAAAAAGAGGTGGAAGAGATTAACAAAATCGTGGAGCACAAAGTAGAATGGAACAAGTTTGGTTGTTTCATTATGATGGATAAGTGGATGGCAAGAAATGGAAAAATGATTATTAATATCTTGGTGAATTCTCCTAAGGGAAGCTTGTTTCTTGAGTCCGATGCAAGCAATTCTTCTACTGATTCTTTAAAAATGTACTCCTTGTCTAAGAATACAATAGACTCTATTGGAGCAGAAAATGTTGTTCAAGTAGTCACGGACAATGCCAGTGAAAATGTTAAAGATGGTGATTTGATGTCTGCAGTGTACCCGCATATTTATTGGACTCAGGCAATTAGAGTGCATTCCTATCTTGTTCGAAGGCCTTTGTTACTGAATATGATGAAGAGATTCACTAAACAAAGAAGCTTGGTGAAACCTACAAAGACAAGATTTGCTACCGCTTTCTTGATTTTGAATAGGATGTATGAGCAAAAAACCAATTTGGAGAAGTTGTTTGTTTCAGAAGAGTACACTAACAGTACCTATGGAAGGGAAGCTCGAGGGAGAGAAAGATATTATGCTTTCTAATGCATTATGGAATAATGTGGTTCATGCATTAAAGATTGGTGGTCCTTTAGTTAAATTGCTTCGTTTGGTGGATGGGGAGCAAAGACCACCAATAGGCTATCTTTACGAAGTAATGGATGGGGCAAAGGAGGCTATTCGAGACTCGTTTAGTGATCAAAAAAATATAAAAGAGTCTTTTGAGATCATAGATGGACAGATCAGCTTCATCGATCTTTACATGCAGCTGGAATTGTTTTGAACCCAGAACTGTTTTATGACAATAAAGAGAGGATTATAGGAGATGCAGAATTGTGGAGTGGATACATTGAATGTATTGAGAAGTTGATACCCGAAGAATCTGAGCAAGATAAAATAACATAGCAATTTAGTACTTATAGGATGCTGAGCAACTTTTTGAAAAAAACATGGCTATTAGACAAAGAGAGACGAAGTTACCAGGTGCGCGAGTGCTTATATGTTGCTTTATAGTTAATAAGTTATTTCTTTATAAATATTACGTTTTGAATATTTGTTCTACTTCTACAGTTGAATGGTGGAAGCAATATGGTCATTCCACTCCAGAATTACCTAAGTTTGTAGTCAAAGTTCTAAGTCTAACTTGTAGCTCATCCGGGTGTGAAAGGAATTGGAGCGTGTTTGAACATGTAAGAACTAAGAAGGAAGATTTAGTATATTGAGATAATTAAATTATATCTCAATTGTCCTAATCTTACTAATTGCTTATTATTTGCAGATTCATACCAAAAAGAGTAATAAACTAACCTTAAAGTGTCTCAATGATCTAGTCTTCATTAAGTACAATAGAACATTGAGGCGTCGTTACAACCCTCGCAATATAATTGATCCAATTAGTTTGGGGCTTTTGCATCTATACCCATTTTGGGGTCACAATTGAACTTATACCCACTTTGCAAAAAAGTTTGCAAGTCTACCCACTTTACGATCAACTTCCGACTTATCGGGTCTGAAGTTAAAAAAATTAGTCTGAAGTAAAAAAATTGCACTTCGGATGCACTTAAGGCCAAATAGGTCTGAAGTGCAACCAATGATTTCATACACTTAAGGCCAATAAGTCTGAAGTGAAAAATTGCACTTCAGATGCACTTAAGTAGTAGAGGAAGGAAGGCCATTACATATAGAAGATGAAGATTGAAATTCAGAAAAAAGGAGGCTAGTGAAGTCACTGATAAAAAAGCGGAACACTGATATTGATTGTTTGAGTGAGACAAAACTAAAGCAGTGCAATTGTTCCTTGATTAGGCAGGCTGGGGGAAGTAGATGGACAGACTGGTTAGAGCTTAAAGCAAGAGGAAATAGTGGTGGAATCTTACTTATGTGGGATAAAAGGAGATGGAGTTGTACTGAGAAATTGGTGGGGGAGTGTTAGTTTACAGATATGTATAGTGTAGTCTTGTCCCACATTGGAAGAGGAGTAATATCTTCTTTTAGTGTATAGCTATAAATAAGGACCTCTTGTATTGTATTTATGATCCAATATCAATAACATATTTTCTCCCGTGCCTTCTCACATGGTATCAGAGCATTAGTGAGAAAAGATCGTTGTGCGTCATTCCAGCGTTAACCAGGAAGAAAGAACTTAGTCATCGTGCAATTTTTTCCGGTGACCTAAGGCTTGTCTAAGTGAAAGTCACTTCTTGTCGGTGTTGTGCTAAAACCAACACCACCACGAGGTAGATTACCCTCCGACGACCAACTCCTGAAAATTTATCCAACAGAAAAGGCGCCACGCTCCTCCACGCGCCGTCAACAGCAACTTTTCCGGCGAGGGTTCTGGCCACTTTCCGGCCATTTTTTTCGCAAAGCTTCTTCAGGACAGTCTGTTCTCCTCGAAATTCCGAGCCTACCCATCTAATTCAAATCAAATTCCGACCACTTTTATATTTTCCGGTGTGAACAGTGACCTTTCCGGCCATTATTTGAAAACATTTCTTCAGGATAGCTTGCTCGCAAGGGAATTCCGAGTCTATCCATCCTGGTTACGACAAATTCCGACAAGTTTGGAATTTTCCGGCGAG